ATGTTAAAGGACAAAGGCTAAAATAGGTGAAACTTTTACACATGCAGAAATCAGCACTGAGAACAATGATAATGTATAGGTAAAGGTAAAGGTTGCCCTTGACATTGTCCAGTCATGTCCGACTCTAGGGCGCTATGCTCATCTCCATTTCCAAGCCATAGAGCGAGCGTTTTGTACGAAGACAGTTTCTGTGGTCACGTGGCCAGCACGACTAGACACGGAACACTGTTAATTTCCCACTGAGCTGGTACCTATTTATCTACTCGCATTTACATGCTTTCAAACTGCAGAGCTGTAAGGGACTTCCTATGGTTCATAGAGTCCAGAAGTCTAAATAATCATCACCACTGACACCAAAAATAGTGTAGGAAAAAAAGTCTATCTTAACATTAAATTTTAAAGAAATGTAACATCAATAACCAAATCGTTTAATTCACTGAATTAATGTAAGAAGCAACCTTACATATAAATAGCTAAGGATTTGTTTCTGTATCTGCCAATATCCAAAGTGCATAAAAAACATTAAAGTGACAAGTATTTGTTTTCATAGAAATGGAGTTCAGCTTAAGAACAGAGGATAAAGCTGAGGAAAAACAACCAATTTGGGATTAACAAAGTTATCAACAATACTACAAGCAATACAAACTGCCTTTTGATAGAGAATAGAACTTGCATATCATGTGTTACAAGTAATTTTATTTCTAACATGTTACTTTTTAGGGGAAAGATATATCAATGTAGAACTCCCAGAAGTACAAGCTGGATTTCGAAGGGACAGAGGAACTAGAGACTAATTTGCTAACATGGAGAAAGCCAGAGAGTTCCAGAAAAACATCTACTTCTGTTTCATTGATTACACAAAAGCCTTTAACTGTGTGTACCACAGCAAACTATGGCAAGTTCTTAAAGAAATGGGAGTGCCTAACCACTCAGGTCAGCAAGAGTTGACCTGAAGCAACAGTTAGAACTGGATATGGAACAACTGGTTGGTTCAAAATTGGGAAAGGAGCACGACAAGGCTGTATATTGTCTCCCTGCTTATTTAACTTGTATGCAGAATACATCATGTGAAAAGCCGGACTGGAGGAATCCCAAACCGGAATTAAGATTGCCGGAAGAAATATCAATAACCTCAGATATGCAGATGATACCACTCTGTTGGCAGAAAGTGAGGAGGAATTAAAGAACCTTGTAATGACGGTGAAAGAGGAGAGCATAAAAAATGGTCTGAAGCTCAACATCAAAAAATCTAAGATCGTGGTCACTGGCTCCATCACCTCCTCGCAAATAGAAAGGGAAGATATGGAGGCAGTGACGGGTTTTACTTTCTTGGGCTCCATGATCACTGCAGATGGTAACAGCAGCCACAAAATTAAAAGACGCCTGCTTCTTGGGAGGAAAGCGACGAAAAACCTCGACAGCATCTTAAAAAGCAGAGACATCACCTTGCTGACAAAGGTAAGCATAGTCAAAGCTATAGTTTTTCCAGTAGCAATGTATGGAAGTGAGAGCTGGTCTATAAAGAACAGAGTCATCAAAGCTACCAACATGAATTTGACCCAACTCCAGGAGGCAGTGGAAGACAGGAGGGCCTGGCGTGCTCTGGTCCATGGGGTCATGAAGAGCTGGACATGACTTAACAACTAAACAACAACAACTTCCATGACAAACAAATCAATGGAAGTTTAAAATTCAGCAGCTTCTGTCTATGTAGGATAATGGTTCAAGAGAGGTTACCACTGAAAAGACACATCTCTGCAGTATTAGGAGAAGGCATATATAGGGATGTGGTGGCGCTGCGGGCTAAACCGCAGAAGCCTGTGCTGCCGGGTCAGAAAACCAGCAGTCATAAGATCGAATCCACGTGATAGAGTGAGCGCCCGTCGCTTGTCCCAGCTCCTGGCAACCTAGCGGTTCGAAAGTATGCAAATGCGCGTAGATAAATAGGGACTACCTCGGTGGGAAGGTAACAGCAATCTGTGTCTATGTCGCACTGGCCATGTGACCACGGAAGATTGTCCCCGGACAAACGCTAGCTCTATGGCTTGGAAACAGGGATGAGCCCCGCCCCCTAGAGTCGAACACGACTGGATAAAAATGGTCAAGGGGAACCTTTACCTTTATTATTTTTTTATTTTTGAGTTGATTTATATCCCGCCCATCTGGTATATTATACCACTCTGGGCGGCTTTACCTTTACACTATAGGTTGCGGGACAAACACTATGGCCTCCCATACAGTTCCCAGATCCATCAAGTACATTGAGAGGAAGGAAGCCTGCTTCACAGGACGACCTTGGCCTCTACTGCTCTGAGGCTGGTTCGTTTTGTGGGCAGTCTAGGGAACTGTGTTTCCACAAAGCAAAGAAAAACGCCAAACTTTTTCATTGTTTGTGCTTCATTTCGCTTCGTCCTCCCCTACCAGAAAGCCCTCTTCATGGGCCCCAGCACCTATCTTACTCCCTTTGGGTCTCCTCCTCTGCTGCCCAGCTGAGTAGTAGGCTGTCTGGGGCATACTTCCTGCCCCAGTGCTTCCTGGAAGGCTTAGGGCATTGTGGGAAGTCTAGTTTTGCTGCTCATTGAGCTACATATAGGGAATCCTCAAAGAACTACACTTTCCACAATACCCTGAGCCTCCCAGGAGGGACTGGGGTAGGAAGTATCCCCCAGAAAGTCTACTGTCCTACTCAGCTGGGCAATGTAATAGGAGAGGAGGAGGGGAGGAGGCCTGGAGCAAGTAAGGAAGATCCTAGGGGCTATGAAGGGGGCTGTGGGGTGGGACACTCATGGGGGGGGGTTCCTGTGTAGCTGAACAAGCCACAAACCAGGTCATTTTTTTAAAAAATCTGCATGGTTTGTGGACCCTGATGAACCATGAACCATCATAAACTGCCATTGTGCCAGTTTGTGCCCATCTCTAGTTAAGTCTTATGGGCTTAACCTTATACAGTGGAACCTCTATTTACAAAC